GGGGGGGGGTTCTCTAAATATATATAAAACCTTGAATGACTGTATGTGTGTGTGAGTGTGAGTGTGAGTGTGAGAGAGAGAGAGAGAGAGAGAGAGAGAGAGCCAAAATATGGATACCGTGAGAAAGATAAGACTCTGCCGAACGCGCTGATGTGGTTTTTATGTTTGTGGTGTTAATAATGTGAGCTCCAGAGCAATAGACAACACTGGTACCATCTGCTTTCTTTGAGAAATGAGTGGTCAGATTTAACATGGAGTCTAATGGAGCAGTTGGTAGGAGTTCATGTCGCTCTGCGGCTCTTTGAGCCAAATGTGTAAGTCCGTTGGATTCCATAGACTCTTTTCGGGCCAAAAATGGTGTATAAAGAGTAAAAATTGTGGGAGCTGGAGCAATTTGTTTGGAAAAATCACAGAATATTTTCCTGCTCCGCTCCACTCTGACAGTTATGCTCTTACTCTAACTCTTAACGAGCCGCGCAATACACACCCATTATAAAATCTGAAACAGACCCAAAATTTTCCTGAAACTTAATCTGTGACTTCATGAAAACTGTGCTAGCTATCAAAATGTTCCTTTGGCTCAATAAAGTGCAGCGTTTCGTGTACGTTTTAAACCTTGAATCATGTTTCTACGTTAATGTACGGCTAGTCAATATGGGCCCAAAGTTAAGTGTTTTTTTTAGCTCTCTTCATGCCGAAACCCCATTCAAGTCAATGGAGAAATTTTGCTCAGTTTTTTGGGATTTTCGGGAAAACCGCTGGGTGAATCTCTCCCAGAAATAGACAGCACACGATTCCCGATCAGGCCGCACGTTTTGATGTATTTTTCACGCCGCTGTTGGCAATGCTGTGTGAGGAGAAGCGCGCCAAACTTTTGGATAAACCTGATTATTATTATTATGATTATGATTAAACCCGATGGATTATATACTGTGTGCTTTGGCACAGGCAGTTTTACTGCCTTTGTGCTACAAAGCCACACTGAATGAAATAGAATAGTGTTAAATTAACTAACTAGGTGAAAAACAGTAGTGCAAAAATCAACCACCAGCAAACAACAGTGTAGCAGTGTGTAGTTATGTGGAGGATGATCTGGCCAGAGGTGATTTATTGTCAAGTATTATTGCAGAGGGCAGGAATGTTCTCCTGTATCTGTCCTTGTGACAGCGGAGCTGGATCAGTCTGTTGGAGAAAGTTCTCCGCTGTCCCTGCAGTAGGTGGTGGAGAGGGTGGTCCGGGTTAAATGTGTGTTGTTTTCCCACAACTATATTATGCTGTGTTACATAACAGCATTATGGAGGATGGAAAACAATATTTGACACTTTTTTTGCCAAAACAGCTGTACCTGAAGCTGACCTCACCCCAACCATGTGTACTTCAAATTCGTTGGATTGATTTCACATACAAGGGAGACTAACATACTGGGGATGAAAGGCTGGGATTTCCCCCCCCCAACCCCGAAAGCCTTTTCTCTTTCACTAAAACATTCCATCATTAGAGAAGTTTCATAATTACTCGTACTTGTGCCCGTGCACCATTGACCCTAACCCTAGTGCTGACATTTCTCAGTCGGGTACCATTGGGACTTTGTATCGGCATACTATCATTATATCATGATATCATACTATCCGCCATTGAAAATTGCGTTGGATTTTCAGGTGTGAGGTTTAGGGGGAGACTGTGGACCTACCCATCTCCAAGAACTCATTGAACAGACTGAAGGCGTCCGTGTCGGCCAGGTGGTAATTATGCAGCCAGTCCCGAAGTTTGCAGATGTCACACGGTTCAACACGTCCCTGATTGTTGCGGCAGGCCTTCCTGTAACATTGACCACACTTCCTCTGCAGCTTCTTTGTAGCGTTTCTGCTCAGACAGTTCTTAAGCCAGCTGGAAAACACAACATTTTCACGTGAATGCAAAGTCTGACATTACACTAACTCATCACTACCTGCTGCCTTACAGGAGATGTTGAATGAAAATACAGCACACTTACGGCCCAGTGAACTCAAAGACGTTGTTGAGAGTCTGTTTGAGCAGCATGATAACGGCCATCTGGATGAAGAGGTCTGTCAAACAACCACTAGGATGGCACTATAACACACACAGAACATATCTACGGGTCAGTGCTGTGGTGCAGACAAGCAGTATGACGGACTAAAAACTAAAAAAGTCGATCTACTCACCTCCTCCAGTCTCCATCCAGCGATACGCACATAGTCCCCTGGACGGCCGTTTATTCTTGACAACAAAACATTAGCTTCATCAGAAATCTGCATTGTAACCCTCTGAACTGAAGGCTGGTGCCAGTACAGACAGTACTCAGTGAAGGAGTTCTTCTAGTTTTACAATGGTACATGCTGGAGGAAAAATATACTAATGGTATCTAGTGGACTGTACTTATATACCACTTTTCTATTCTTCTGACCACTCAAAGTGCTTCAACACTACATGTTATTCACCCATTCACATCCATTCACACACTGATGACAGGAGCTACCATGCAAGGTGCCACCTGTCCATCAGGACTCCAACTAATCATTCAAACACCGCAGGAACAGCCTGCAGGAGTAATTTAGGGTTAAGTGTCTTGCCCACGGACACATCGACATGGACTAGCGGACGACCCCGCTCTACTACTGATCCACAGTTGCCCCTGACAACAGCACCACACAACTAAAGAGGTAGAGCTACTTCAGGGTTCATTCTCTTTACGGTATTTTCTTGATTTTATTAATTGTACCTTGTTCTTTTTCTCAATAATATTATCACTTGAAGCTTTGGCAATGTTGACATTCATGCAAAAAAACTTTTTTGAATTGACAGTTACAGAGAGAGACACAGTTACAGACAGACACTCTGACATGCAGATGGACTATAA